GTCTTGGCAGTACCCTAACTGCCGACAGAACTGGTTCGGTGCATAAAGCTCCATGCCACATCTGGAGTTGAGAGTGTTCAAACTACAGCCAACAAACAAATCCCGAGAGGTCACACAAACAGACCAAAACGCTCTGAAATCTGGGGATGTGAAATCGGCCCTTGTACCATGAAGGACCGTGAGATCTGCCAAGGAACACAGCAAAGTCTGCATCGGGACGATCAATAGAAAGAGAGGCAAAAAACTTGAAGCACTCTTCAAAGCTTCTCTTGTTTTCCGCGGCATTCTTGAACAGGAAGCCGTAAGTAAGTAGATCCCGAGCTGGAACAGTGGATGAGACAGGAGCGAGGGTTGGGAAATAAGAATATAACCACAACTGTAAAACCCAAAGCGGCCCACCACTAATGACTAAGGGGTGAGCCGTGATATCCTGGCAACTCCTGTACAGATGAGCAAGCAAGAAAGGACCCAGAGCCATTTGTTTTCCATATGCTAAAGCCACAGCTAAAGGAATAAACTCTTTGGTGGGACCTTTGCCAGCAGAGCAGACCATATACTTGCAAATCAAAGTAAGCAGAAACGAAATATGTTCATCAACATTAACAGGCTTACTTTTGTCATAGGCAGACCTCACAAAGGCTGGATAAGAGGGTTTCAGCTCCACATTGTAATCAACACCTGGAGGCACGGTTAACAATGCTGAAATCTCTTCTCCAGTACAGGGCAATCCGGTTAGTGAGCTGACATCAAAAAGGCTCACAGACATGGCTCCACAGGGAAAATGAAAACAATTGAAAGAGCCAGACCAAAATAACAAAGCTGCACCCAAGGCCATCTTGTCCATGGTGAACCTGCATCTGGTGAGTTGTATAAATTCAAACAGACCCACATCTCTCCAAATTTGGCCAAAATCAGGTTCTAGACGATCAATCCACTCTACCCATTCTGATTTTCTCCAAACCGGCCAAGCTCCAAAAGAACCAACCCACTTACTCCAATCAGGTTTTACTTGAAAGGGGAGCAGATGTTCTTTGGGTTGTGGATAAATGGATGCAAGGGCAGCCGGCGGGTTAGACACAAAATAAGGGCCCAAAATCTGAGATTTTCTGTGAGGAACAAAAGTTTGGCTTGAATGGCATGGTTTCTGTTTTTGGAGTACCCTGTTTATATCATCTTGAAGGTTACGGTTTTGAAAGATTTTAGTTAAATCTGGGGGAGGTGACCTCAAGCAAGGAGTGGCCTTTGAACCGGCCATGGAAGCAGATCCGGTGGGCATGGTTTGATCTTCTCGGTCACTGGCCATGGAAGTAATTTTGGCAAGGGGAAGATTTTTGCTGGGGCCACCGGACACAAGCCAGGCTGGGCAGATCTGCACA